TCCTCCGCAGCCTGGAGGACGCTCTGCAGCCTGGAGGACGCTGGTGCTCCATGGATATGCAAAGTGTATCACACCAAACTAATTGAATAATATGTTCATAATTTCACTGCAGCAGATTGTCTGAGGTAGGTACCCACCCCTCCCTCTCCTCACATCAACCTATGGAAATAAATGCAATGGTGATCGATAATACAGCTGGCCCTCCACATTTGCAGCTTTGACTTTTGCGGATTTGATTATTCATGGTTTTGATTAATATGTTCTCTCTAGGAATCTCTAGGTCCTCCAGTGCAATTCTGCTGGAAGTTGACCATTGAGTTGTGCCGGTGAACCTAGAGTTTCCTAGAGAAAACACTTCTCCAGGCATTTGAAGGTCCTCCAGGATGATTCTATGATCAACCAATGCCAGATGTTGACCACAGAATTGCACTGGAGAACCTGGAGATTCCTAGAGAGGAGTTCTCTCAGGTAAAAAGGACACTATTTTTACAGTGAGTCCTTGTTATCCACTGGATTTTGGTTCCAGGTCCCCCGTTCCCCCGGGTGGATACCAAAATCCATGGATGTTCAAGTCCTATTAAATAAAATGGATAGTAAAATGCTGACCCTCATATAAAATGGCAAAATCAAGGTTAGCTTTTTTGGAATGTATATATATTTTTGAATATTTTCAAGCCATGGATGCTTGAATCTGTGGATATGGAAAACTGACTGTATTTGTGGTTTTTCGACATCACGGGGGGTCCTTCACCCCTAACCCTAGCGAATGTAGAAAGATCACGATACTACCAACCTTCCTTATAAGGGCCACAGAGACATTGATGAAAGGGGCTAGCCGCTAGGAGAAAGGCATCAAATACTCTGAAAAAGGAACACAAAAAACACAAAGGAAAAACAAATACTCTGAAGCAGTGCCACCTGTGCCATTTGGTCTTGCAAGAAAGTCATTCTGGAGCCTTTCTCAGAAAACAAGGTGCTGATCAGAAGTTTGGTATTAACAGCCAGCAGGTACATGATATGATTTAAACCCAAGGATGCTTTTTCTCCATGGGGATGGCTGTTGTTTTAAATAGCAAGCACATTTGAAAGGACCCCCAAGTTGAGTAGATCCAATGAATTAACGAGAGCAGTGATTCCCAAACTATAGTCACCCAGATGTTTTGGACGTCAGCTCCCAGAATTCCTGACAGTTGGCCAACCTGGCTGGAGCTTCTGGGAGATGAAATCCAAAAACGTCTGGAGGACAAAAGTTTGGGAACCCACTGAACTAGAATCTGGTTAAATCAATAGTTGATTCAGTGGGTATGCTCTAGTAGAGACTATAACAATTTGATTTAGATCACTATGGTCTAAAACACACTGTGGAAATAATCCAGTTTGAGACCACTTTAACTGCCCTGGCTCAGTGCTAGGGAATCCTGGGAAATGTAGTTTATTGTGGCACCAGAGCTCTCTGCCAGAGAAGGCTCAATGGCTCACAAAACTACAATTCCCAGAATTCCCCAGCATTGAGCCAGGGCAGCTAAAGTGGTCTCAAACTGGATTATTTCTGTGTGTGCTTTAGACCTATGTTCTAGAACCAGAACTAGAACAAATATGCTAACAGCAGTTGCTTATAAGGCCCGGGCAGTAAATATTTTCCAGTCTCTATTTTCTCCAGTGCTACCAGTGCTTCCTATACTACCAGTGCTGTTAACTTATGGATCAATTTGCATTTATTGTTAGATGTGTTAGAGAACTGCCATCAGACAGAAAGATGCCATATAAATAGCTTGATTAAATTAAACAAATTAAAAAAGTCACTCAGCTTCACAACAGCCCCGACAGGTAGTTCAGTATAATCACACAATTCACTTTGCAGAGGGCTTGCTCCAGGCCTCCTAAGGAGTTCCTGGCAGAGGTGGAATTAAATGCAGAACTTTCCCATCCATTATACACTACTGAGTTTTTTTATCTTCTGGGAATGATCCTCCCATTCCCCTGACGTTCTTGCCATAATTAGGGTGCAATACCAAAAATAAATTGCACAAGTCAAGGGCAAAAGGACATGTCTGTTTTTGTTAACTACAGGACTTCCTGCCACACAATGAATCATTCCAGCTAATTAAAAGTTAACCAGCTCAACCGTCAAACAAAAACACAAAATGACTGTGAAAGACACTTCCTGAAACAAACACTAGGTTTCAGAGCAAAGTGTGATTTGTGCGATTCATAATGAGTTTTCCAAATCCTATGATGAGCCATCCAATCAAGAAAACTATTATTAAAAATATGAATTTTTGGAGTTAGAGATGAAGTTTAGAATTCAGAAATAGGAATTGCAACCACACACTAGTAGCAAGCATATACCTACTTAGGACTAAGCCCCACTGAATTCAGTGAGATTTATGAATGTATGTTAGTCTTCCCACCTTGGCTGTGAAACCCACTGGATAACCTTAGGCAAGTTACATGCTCTCAGCCTCAGGGGAAGGCCATGGCAAACCTCTTCTGAACAAATCTCGCCAAGAAAACCCCATGATAGGTTAGCCTTAGAGTTGCCATAAGTTGGAAACGACTTGAAGACACACATACACAAAAGTCCATACACCTCAGCACTGTCTACTCTTGAGTAGCAGTGGCTCTTGAGGTTCACAGGAAGAGAGAGAAATCTCTTTTCCCACACTCCTGCCTAAATGTTTTAACTGAAGGTGCTAGGATTGAAACTGGTAATTACTTCAGAAAATGCATGTATTCTACTACTTATCTTTGGCCTTTTCCCACGTTTCTTCTGAGTAAACACACCACAAAGCTAGACAGCACAGGGCAGCTGTTCACAAAATTGAGTAGAAGGGTCCTACCACCAGCCAAATGGTACCGCACAAATCATAAAACCCATTTCTGAAGTTTACACACAATGGCATCTAAGGCTCTACTGAGATAAAACAAAGAAGAACTGACACCATTTTGCATCCCTCGGTAACCAAGTTATAATATAAAGCTGTTTAATTAAGCCCAGGATCAAATAAAGGACGAATCTTAATAATTTATATATGTATATAAATTTATATATATGGTGAGAAAGCAAAAGGCGGCTAGTTTTCCGCTGAGACTCTGCTAGAGGCAATTCCAACCTGTACAAAGAATGTTCAATATGAAGGTCAGAGTCTCCCTGTCCAATCTTAGCATGACAGAAATTTGTTTTGCACTGATACTATATTCCAAAACACAAGAGACAAACAGGGAGAATAAGTGTTCCTTGGCTGCTGCTGCTGCTGTTTTATTTATAAAGTGCTATAAATTTATACGGCGCTGGTACATATATTCCATTAAAATAAAACAAAATAAAATAAAGGACAAATTCCATCTGGGAACTATGCCTAGAAGGAAAGAGAAGGGAATACCATTATTCTCCTTATTTTACAGAAATTTCATGTAGAAGATGGACCAAGCTGGTTTTCTGCTGTTCCAGAGACCAGGAAATGAATGAACAGACTCAAATTGCAAGAAAAAGAATCCCACTAAACATCAGAAAGAACTTCCCAATGGTAACCAATGGTAACAATGGTATTTGATAGCAGAACAGATGACCCTGGAGCGTGTGGGGGGATTCTCCTTCTTTGGAAGTCTTTAAACAGAGGTTGGATGGCCATCTCTCATGAACACTTTGTGTATTCTAGCATGATGGGTCAGGGACTAAATGGCACCAGCATTAAAACATTAGGTGTTATCCTTCTATGGTATCAAAACTATTTCAAATTCTTATGGAACAGCAGAACAACCACCCAAGATGCCCTCCAATGCTGAAGAGAGAGAGAAAAAGAATCAATATAGGGGAAGAATGGAAATTGTGATAAAAATTAAGGGCAAGAGATTCAGCTAATGAAAAGTGAATGGCCACTCAATTTGAAAAACACATAGGTCCATCTGTTAGACCAGGGGTAGGCAACCTAAGGCCCGGGGGCCGGATGTG